CCTGTCCCCCCGCAGGGCCGGCAGGAGCAGCCCCGGCGCTTCCCCCAGGACGGGAGGGGAGCGGGGCTGTCACTTCCGTGAAGTCCGCAGCAGTTCCCGCACCGCGCCCCCCTGCATCCACCCCTGCTGGAGGCCTGGGCCCAGCCAGCTTCGGTCGGGAGTGACAGGATGGTGGTTAAAGACCCGTGTCCCTGGTGCGGAGTTGCGGTCTACGTAACTGTCACTGGGCCCCAGGAAAAGCCTGCGCAGGATTAACAGGGCAGGACTGAAATGCACTGGCAGTGTCCCTTGGTGGTCTCCGAGCTGCACTAGCAAAGGGTGCTCGTACATGGAGGCACTCTGGCAGATCTCAGCGGCTAGTGAATGATCTGGTCGACGTGAGATGCATTTGGCAGAACAGAGTGCAGCCGTGCTTCTGCAGCGTCTGTCTGGGGGGTGCCTGGTCCGAGCGTGGGGTTTGACCTAGGTGGCTGGCGGTGTCGGTAAGTGAGCGGGGGGAAGTCGTCATTGCTGCATGGGCTCTCGCTGACCTGGTTTGTTTGGGGTGTGTAAAAAAAATTTGGGGGAGTGTCATTTAGACTTGAGGGCTTGTTTGAAGCAACTCCAGATGCTCGCAAGTCTCAAAGAGGAGCCTTGTGCATCATTGTACTGCAGCTTTATTTGAAATACTTACACATAGATGCCTTGAAGGCTAAGGTCTCTGCATGCCGGCATGCGGTTGGCTCTCTCTAAACTGTCTGAACCATGTTTTAGGCGTGTTTGTGGCCTATATTAAATACACAATTAAAATGCAAGGCATGCAAGACAAGCTTTTGTCTGCAAGGGGTGACACTTGGAGGGGGTCGAGGAGCTTGGCTTTGTCGTTCCTATTAGATCAGCTGTATCTTTTGCAAATGAAAGAGCTTGCAATCCTTCTCTAGCTTTTGGAATGAAAGACTTTATTGAGTGGGGTCTTCGTAGAAATTGTGAAGGTGAGTACTTTATTTCATAAGAAGTATGGGGATGTTAATGGGAGGGGAGAGAGCACCGCATAGGGTTTCTTTGTCTTTGCTACCAGCTGGTGTTCACTTTGGGGTCTCTTTGTATGGCTCGCAGAATTTTTGGTCTCAGAAACATGAATGGACAGAGGGCAACACTTGATTCTTGGGTAAGTAGAGCAGAGCCCGAGTGTCTGTCCTGTTGTTGGGAGATGGAGGCAAGTCCGCAGCCTAGAGTATCTGAGTCGAGCAGAGCATGGTGTCTGACGGGGCCTGCGAGCGGGATTCTGCATGCAATGCACTGGGACACCTGCGAGCGGTTTGAGATGCAGCAGGGAAGCTGTGCAGAAGCGGCTCTGAAACCACGCAGCACTGAGAGGGGTAGCTCTCAACTTGGAAACAACTCAGCAATGAAAGTTTGTCGTATTCTAAAAATACTCAATATGCTTGATGGAAGGAAGAGCTGTGCTCAAAAGCTGGCTTGTAATACACTTGAGAGAGAATGCCAAAGCGTACGAGCAACAGCGCTTTTTATTTCTACTATGCTACTATCATTTGAATAGACTACTGCTTATATCTACATATATATCTTTAAATATCCACTATGTATTTAGTAATGTGACTGGTTGTTTTTTTTCTTGATGTGTGTTATCAGTTTGTGGGTGCCTTAGTGGAAAATGAATTATTATATTTATTTGACTCCAGTCTGCCTCCACAAATAACTGTGTACAGTGTAAACACTTGCAAAGCAAAGGTCAGAAAGTCAGGTTTGCTGGAGAGGCTAGTTTAATTACTCCCATGACAGCGCATGGTTGGTGATGTTTGCTCTCCAAGTGGGTTTTGATTTTCTTTTTTTTTTCTGACCCTTTTGTTGTTTTTCAAAATCTGGCTCTGAAGAGGCTCTTGGCCTTTTTTTTTCCTCCATGCTCCCTTTTTAAACAGGATTACTGGGTGTTCCCAAGGAGTGTTGGGTGGAAGCAGCCCAGTTGGCTGCTTTTGCCATCTGCGATGCTGCCACAGAAAACCTCAAAAGGGTCATGTGAGGAATGTTTCGGGTCAGCATTGTAATTTCTGCTCCATGCCTGCAGCTGCGGCCTCCCCCCACCCCGAGTTAATCTGGTGCCTTCTGTCAAGAAAAAGGCAGAGAGTTAGGAACGTCTTTTGCTGATTTTTTTTTTAAGCTTGTTGGAAGACGGTTCTGCTATATCAGCTCTACTTGAGACCAGTTGATTAAGTTGTCATAGCCCCGGCCAGTTACATGAATGTGCAGTATTATGGCTTATTATGAAGTTTTCCTGCCACCAAAGGCCTATAGGTAATGGAGTTGAATTATCAGTAGCCTTGCTGATCTGCACTGCTGCTTCCCATTTGCATTTTCTCTTTCTCTAGAAGTGAGGGTTTCTTCACCAGTTGGAGAACTGTTGTGCTCTAGGCTCTAAATGCCTATTGTGACCTTCTCGAAAGCAACTCCTACAAACATTGGGCTTATGCCATAACATCCTACCAAAACTGTTGCTGTTTCTAAGGCTGCGTGAACGGACGGCTGTTTGTTGGCAGTGAGCCTCCGAGGCTGCTTTACGTGTTGACAGCAAATGTGTTGAGCCTTTTGGTAATCAAACTTTGGGACAGTAAAGGTTGGATCTAACCGACCTTCCTAATCGCTGGCAAATGCAGTTTCCCTGTTTTCAGATTGATTAAGCTGTTGGTACTATGGTGGGGGAGGATATTTTATGAAAGATAATACTCTTATGAGTTTTAAAATCTTGTCTTTGAACCTGTGTTCTCCTGGGCTCTATATTTTTTTTTTTATTCAGTGCACTTAAAAAGAGGTTCTTTTTCATCTCTCTGCTTCAGCTGACAGTGAGTGTTGCTGGTCAAACTCATAATTGGGGAGAAAGGGTGTTTGAATGCATGGAGCCTCTTAAATGGTCTGACAAGTGTGACGTTTTCATATGTGGCAAAGAGACACCTCGGCTAGATTTTTATCTAGTTCTGTTGTACCCTCAGTATTGATTTGAGCCAGTGGAAAGCTTTTACTGGATATTATTCATTTACTTATTTCCATGTGCAGTGACTTATTTTAGTCCATTTTGACTGTTAGGGGGTGACATAGAGAACAGCAAAAAGCACGCTGCCTGCTGCTGATTTTTATGAGCCAGAAGATTTAATGTATGTGTAATCCAACAGGACGAATCTCCCAGCCACTGCCACGTTTTCATCCATTGATGAACATCAGCTGCTGGTTGGCATCAAGGGAGGAAGACTGAATTAATCCCAGATGGGGGAACTATTTCAGCCAATTTAAGACTTTCCGGTCAATTTAAGGCAGCAGGTCAGTAATTTTGGGGGTACATGCATACTTTTTTTTTTCTTTTGTTTTATTGATAGTGGTAACCTTTATTGAATGTCATACTCTTTAATGAATGATACGAAATAGAATGTAAAAATGTTGCTGAAGTCAGAAGCCTCATTTTATTTAATTGCTTGTGTTACTGTAGCATTATGGCACTGTTAAGGAAGACTGTGAAAATACCTTTCATTTTATCATATTCACCCAAATCCAAGACCACTTTGAATTTTAGAGGACCCCCCCCTAATAATTAGATTCTATAGGTGGAAAATTATAAATTGCCATGTATAGAATTGAATTAGAGGAAGGTTGTCTTCATTTTGTCCCTCCCCACTGCTGTGGTGGGAGGCAAAGGGCCAGACCCCCTTTCCCTTCAGACTCCCCCAGCTCCTCTTGCTGTGAGCTCCCTCCCCTGACAAACAAGCCGTCCCAGCCTGGGGCAGGCAGCAGCTCAGCTCTGGCTTTGGCCCTGTGCCTGATTCAGGCTGGTACTTGAATCCAAGATATAGCTTCCACCACACCCCATGCTGATGAGGGGTCACCTTGTCTTGTATTTGGGGAAGTGCAGTAAATAGTCAGGAGTGTGTTAATTTAAAAGTAGGAACCCAAGAGCAGTATTTTTATTTAAATTGGGGAGAAAAAGGTCAAGGGTGACTACAAACCCTGCACACCTGGAATACTTTAAACAAGATTTTCTGGGTTCAATTGAACCACAGGTTTTGGACACTATTTGGCTTAACTTCCAATCTGTAGGGTAAGTGCCAATGGGTCACAGCTAAGCCCAGCCTTTATGATCCCAGCATGTTTGTCATGTTGGCATACATTACTAGAATACTTAAGGGAATCCCAGGTATATGGGGGTGGCTGGGGCGTAATGCAGATTCAAAAGGTGGCAGTCTTCCTTTCACTAGCAATGGCACTCGGGCACCCAGTGCTGGTAACACTCCTGTCTTATTGCTAGTGCTGTACTGCTTTTCCCAAGGTCTTGGTTAAATTCCAACATTGATTCCATTCTGCCAACCTAACTCCCCTGCAGTTTGTAGATATAGCTTTTATTTATTACTCTGAGCTGTTGTGTGATGGTTTCCCTCTCCACCAGACAGTTCTTGTTTTGCACTTTGTAGTTATTGTCTCTAAGTGGTTGCAGAGTAGGAACTGTGAAATGTTACTTCTCACACTGCTGCTGGATCAAAACAACGATGATGTGGAAAGACAGCCCTAGTAACCAAGACTGGGAGTCCTCCAGCAGATTTGCCAGTATTGTTCTGAATCGACAAGTAGTGGATTACTGTTAATTGAGTTGAGACCCACCTTCAAGGCCAGAAAGCGTGGCTTTTTTCAGTGTTGTGTTTAATATCCTGAAAGCTTAATGTCTGTATAGAAATAGCTTCATGGGACTACAGTCTGATTGATTTGTGAGTGGCTGGAAATCCCCTATTCTCCTTTATTCTGCTGACATATTGTTCTAAATCCCATTTAAATGAAGTAGCTTAATTTTGCAGCAATAAGAATTCAGTTAATTTTGCAAGCTCAGAGAGGCATGTTGCCCTAAGAAGATATTTTGCTGTGTAATCTCCTTAGTTTTTGTTCCTAAATCATTTTTTTTTTTCTTTAAAATCAAGCCCTCAGTGGCAGGGCATAGTTACAATACACGTGGCAGTGAACTCACTAGCTTGGCTTTTCTAACTTTAGTAACAGTTCAGTAAGCAGAGCGGTGATCTTAAGAAACTCAGTCCAGCTCTTCTGTACATTAAACAGCTATGAATATTCAAGATAAATATTTTATGACATTTAATCTCTCTCTTGGCTTGGCAGCTACCATAATCTGTTCCAGTTTATTCCCCAGGGCCTTAATGTAACTTCCTGTACACATTTCTTTTGGCCGTCATGTTCTGCATATATTTTACAGCTCAGTCCTGCAAAGCCTCCCTCTTGAGTAGCTGTGTGCATATGGGCAAGTTCCAGTGACTAAAAAAGCTTTAATAGTAGAAACAAATTTTTATTACCTCCTGGGTCATTGATATAAGAGACTCTCTTGAGGTATAAGAATTTAGGAGCATATTCTTCACTGAATCAGGGAGACTGCAAGCAATAAGATACAGTAGTTGACATGCTTCTCAAGGCTTGAGAACAGAAACAGTAAATCTCGGATTTACAAGTACCAGTTAACAATTGAGATTTGGCTAACCAGCAGCTTAGCTCCCTCCACTATTTCTTGTTTCTCTTGCATACAGGTAATACAGAGAACATGGACAATTCTGTTTTTTAACTACTTTAAAAGGAAGGGGAGCAGCTGCCTGGGAGTGGGCAGCAGCTGTTATACTGTAACTGTTACAAGTGTATGATCTCCTAGGGATGTAAATTAGCTTAATTGCCTTATCTTAGACCTGAATGAAACCGGGTTAAAGCTGCAATGGTTTTGCTACATTTGCATGGATACAAAATTATGCAGACTTAAATTGTATTGTAAGGGTGGGTCCAGACTACACGCTGCACACGCAGGTGTTCCCCATGCTGCTAATTAGCAGTGTGGTTGGGGTGGGGGGTGTTGACCCGGGAGATCCCGGTATGAAAAAAAGCCACACCTAAAAAGCGGGGTGACGCATGTGGTGGCAGTATGCACCACCTGAAACCAGAGCCTGGCCAGCTGGAGCCATACTCCAGCTGCCAGACAGGCTCCCTGCTGCCAGATCCCAGATCCCCGCCACTGGAGCCCCAGAGGCCTCCAGGCCCCAGCCTCCCCTACTCCACCTGGGACAACTTGCCACACAGCAGTGCATGTGTGTCATGGGCATTCCCTGGGTACAAGTAGGAGCAGCACATATTGTGCTGCTGTTATTTGTCTCTGGGAAAAAAACACAGGTGCCCTTGGCTGGATATGCCCTACACGTTTATATTGGTACCATTTGATATCAGTACAGTTGTAATATATGTCTAGATCCGCAGTGTTTACTGGGTCAACCACACCAGAACAATGAGATGCCTCGCTGCTCTGCTGCAGGGTGCTTTGAGGAGTCGCTTGACTGGCTGCATCCTCACTGTATACTGGGGTGCCTGAAAGTCCTGATGTTTCTTAGCCTTCTCCTTTGTTTTTTCCCCCCCAAAAGGTTTCAGATAATAGCCCAAAGCCTTTGGGAAACAGGCTGTTCTGTCATTTGTATTCATCGGGTAACAGCTACAGCTGTTTGGAAAGGTGTTCCTATTAGTGAACTTCAGCACTGAACTTACTCTGGGATGTTTTCCTCAATTGTTTGCTTTGAGCCTGCCAGATCAGCAGACAGTGGGGCACTCTGATATTACGGCAGTGGGTTACCTTATAAATATTGAGCCTGAATATCTCTACTGTGTAACACAAAGCTTTTAGTTTTTTCCCCCAGGGGGAGATATCAAGCATTAGTGGCTTTCTGTCCTGAACAGCTGCAGAACCTCCTCATGTTCCGGTCGTGGCATCCTCCTAGTTCAGGGCTCTGTTTTTCATGCCTGCGTGAGGATGTGGTGAGCTGCTCCCGACAATCAACGACGCTAGAGCAAAGGGTAAAGAGGGCTTTCCGTATAACTGTGCTAATTGGCCTCATGCAAACTGGGGTGCTTAAGAGCGTTGGGACTGAGTTTGAACAGAATTTCTTCTGCGGCAGTCTTAACAAATCTGTCCTTTAAGAAAAATACTTTAGCTCATAAGTGGGATTAAGCCCCCCGGAAGCATATCTGAATCAGCATGAACCTATTGACAGCAGCCTAGGAGAGGTCTGTATCTTAGTGCACTATTACATCAGAGGTGTTCTGCTCTTGGAAAAGGACTTGGGGAGGGGCAGTCTTCTTGCTGCTTCGTTGAAGTAAGATAAATGAAAAATCTGAGAAGTGAAAACTTCAGTGCAAAATTAACAGCTGCTTGGATGGGATAAAGAAACGTCTTAACCGCTTCATCCATGTGTCTGAGGTGGGTTGCAATGTCCAGGTCAAGTCTAGCTTTAAAAAGCAAAGAAAATAAAATATGTGCCCTGGCCAGTTTTTCAGTAAGCATTTTAGCCAATACAAGGCCGTCCAGGTGCATGCCCCTGTGTGTGTTCACCTGCCAGGCAGCGTTTACTGTGCTGCCATTGTTCAGAGGCATCCTTGTGTAACAGTATTGCCAAGATGTCCATAGTTAAACTTTCCACCATACAGTGCTATTTTTGGCAGTCTCTATACTTTGCCTGTGTAGCGAGTGATGTGTCCTCTCGGGCACTGATATTCTAAAATGCGTTTTCCAGGTTGCTCAATCCTATAAGACCTGCTGATGTGCAACCCTAATCTCTGTAATGAAAGACCTTGTATACAGTCTGTTTGCTGTCTGACCTATTCTGTTTTCTTCTGTCTTTCTGATAGTCTGTATTTTGGGTATCAGTTGCAAAGACAAACATCCAAAGGTGGCTTTTAATGTTGCTGATCAAGACAGACAGAATGGTTTGGCTCCTTTTTACCAATGTTGGGCCCTATTTATGCAACTGATACATTGTTTGACATTGACACTGTAATGCAACTGATGTGGCAGAATAGATTCACCCAACTTTATTTTACAGTTCAAAAGTGTATCCTCAGATGGGAAACAATTAGATACCTGTATTCCCAGGTTTGTTCTTTTTTCCAGAATTGTACTATAAGGATTGCTGTAGTTGCTTGTGTTACACTACAGTGTGGCTGAAGTACCCATGCTACACGTTATTCACCACACCACTTATCTTTGCTTTATGATCAGAAGGCTCAGACACCTGGGAATTTCTTTGCCTGTTTTGTTTTACAAGATCAAAAGGTATAAAAATCATGTGGTCTTTGAGGGCTGATTAAAGTCCTTTCTCTCTTTGTATTTTTCTCCACTGTCTGCTTTATGCGTTTTTGTATGTCATAAAAAAAATGGCTGTAGCAGTGTAAACCATGGGGATAGTACCATAAATGCACTCCTGCACAGAATTGTGACCTGTAAAGACATTTTCCAGACAGAATGTAAAGTAGCAGGTTGAATGAGAATAACATAATTACAGAGGAAGGTAATAACTACGTGTACGAGCAAGAACTTTGGAACCCAGAGACCTGTTTTGTTTTAGTTTGGCACTGGCTGTCTCAAAATAGAAAAGAAGTTGAGGCGGATCTGTACTTCTGCATGTTATGATCACATTAACAAGTAGAAATGTATGTCTTAAGCAATGCAACAAATGCAAATCTTTGTCTCCTTCATAAACTGCAAATGAAACCTGGTGTTTCTATGCCATGAATATTTTAAAATGGCATTGTTAAGTAGTGAAGAACTCTTTGCTTTTTTTTTTTTTTTTTCCATTGGCAGAAAGGGCAACAGACTGCAGGAAGAAGCATTTGAAGTGTTATTTTTAAACAAGATGTTGGTTGGAGGACCAGATAAACTTTTATGAGCCAACGGAGCTGAAAGAATAACCATGTGAGATTTATTTTCGCTTCCTTGTGAAGTTCTAGACAAAATCAATGTTGCTTTTTATTAAGTCTGAACAGTAGTCTCTGAACATCAGCATGTCGACTGTAACGAGCACTCAGACTCTGGAGGACTCTGATCCACCCCGTCTTGAAGAGAAGCCAAAGGGGAAGGCGTTGTTTCCGTTGGACTCCCTCTTTGCTAATCGGAGTGAGAAATTTGTAATTGCCAGGAGCGACAGCGTACCGGAGGAGAACGTACTAAAAATCACTATCACGGAGACCACAGTCATTGAGTCGGACTTGGGCATCTGGAATTCCCATGCTCTCATCTACCTCACCTTGTGGTTTTTCTTCAGCTTCTGCACGCTCTTCCTTAACAAGTACATACTTTCACTGCTGGAGGGAGAGCCCAGCATGCTAGGTAATTGGTTTTCATTTAAGAACTCAGTTGCAATAAAATGTTTGCCAGTGAAGTAATATAATAGGTGGTTTCTGTGGTGCAAGAAAGACAGTTAAGCAGTCAGAGCAACAGGATTGGGAATTGGGAACTTGAGAGTCCCATTTTCAGCACCGACAGGGACTCCTGTCCTGGGTTAGCCTCTCTGTAAAATGGAATAAAAGCTCTTTTACAGAGGTGCTATGGGGATTGCACTACAAGGTAATCTGCATAGACTACTTCAAGGATAAAGTAGACAAAAATGTGCCTGATTTTCTGCTTGCTCTAGTGTGTGGTAAGACAGTGTTTTTCTCTCTCTTAAATTAAAGTCTATTTTTTAATAGATTGTTTGTAATGTTCGAACCTCTAGAGGCCTAAGAGAGCAAAGCATTGCTGAATTGCAAAAGTTCTTAGTCCTCATATGAGCCTGGACAGCAGCTGTTTTTATCTACTAGTTTTGCTGGTTTTTGAAGAATGGAGTTTCTATAATGTAGCCGTGGTTTTTAATGTCTGTAGTTATCTTGCCACCTTTTGTCTCATCTGCCACACCAAGGGTAGATGCAGAAGGACGGGGCTTTGATCAGCATTTTATGAAGCTGCCCGTTTTACCAGCCATGTCTAACTCCAGTGGCCTCTAATGAAAAATGTGCGTCGTACTTTGGGATAGCTTGATACTCTAGTCATCTTCTGACCGGTCTTGATTTCCCATCTTTCTTCAGGTGCTGTTCAAATGCTCTCAACCACCTTCATTGGCTGTGTAAAAATGTTTGTACCGTGCTGTTTGTATCAGCACAAGACACGTATCTCTTACCCACCCAATTTCATCATGATAATGCTGTTTGTTGGACTGATGAGGTAAATGGTTGAACATTCCCAGCGGGTTGTCTGAAGTATAATGTCACTATATATGTTTGCGTCCATGACCCCTTCTGTCCACAGAAAAGATTGGAGAGCACAGTTAGTGCCAACTGTTTTGAACCTTTCAGAATCTCATGATTTATTCTTTAATCACTTTTCCTAAATATTAGTTGCTTTCTTCTGACATGAAGTCTTTTGGAAACCTGCTCCACTCACTATGACTTTTAGCTCCTTTATCTTAAATAGATCCCTCTTTTCTTCTTTCTTTTTTTAATGACATTTCTTCCTTCTCTCTAAGACTACTATTTTATTCTCATTTAAAACTACCAGATGTTTGGTCATTACTAATTACTGTGCTATGGTGTGTCATGTTACCCTTTCCCAGCAAGCTGTATTAAATGTGTAGTATCAGTTATTAATTTACGTTTTATTTTCAAATACACACCTTTTAGAAGAGAACATGTACTGCAGACTTGGACGGGGCTAAAATAAAGCGTGGCTTGCTTTTCTACACCGCAAAACCAAAGTACTTTAAAAATGTTTTTACTAAACTGGAAGGATCTATTTTGTAACCAAGTCCTGCAGCACTATTTTTAAAGGGTAACTAGCTTTCTGATTAAACAAAGGGCTAGATATGTAGCAGACATTTAGGTCCTGTAGTAAAAACTTGTGTATAAAAGAATTAGGCTGCAGTAACTACGTGTAATAAATGCCTAACCTAAAATCAGCTTTTTAAAGCATCGCTTTATTTTCTGCTGCATTTAATGGGACTTTTTTTTTCTCCCCCCAGGTTTGCAACAGTAGTTTTAGGGCTGGTCAGCCTGAAAAATGTGGCTGTTTCATTTGCTGAAACAGTTAAAAGCTCTGCACCTATTTTTACTGTTATCATGTCTCGGATGATTTTAGGGGAATATACTGGTAAGTGTTTTATGTAATTATTTTGCCTTTGACAAAAAGAAGGTTTTGAGCATGTTCCATTTTTAGACCAGTTGGAAAAATCATTCCTATTGAAAAAGCTTGAACTGTAAATGGAATGAGCAAGAAACAATATCGTAATTTGTGTAAGGATGGTGTTAGTTGGACACTTTTTTTTTCTGGCAAGAAACTAGTGTCCTGAGGTTAGACCCTTAAATGAAATGATGTGCATGTTCCATCTCTGAAGGCAAGCTGCTGATGTGACTTACATTTTAAGTTTCTGGCATCTTTACTGCCTCCAGCCTGAAGCTGATGCACAGAAATGGCCTCTCACATCATTCCTTGGAGTCCCACTGAATTGTAGTTGCATCCTTCTCTTTCCTGAGAGAGACCTCGCAGCTGCTCAGTCATCTGCACTCTTTGTGACAGCACTCTGCACCTCAGACTTCATGATACAAGCCAGGAGGAGGCAGGTTTAGCAAAGGCACAGGACAGGTGGTGAGTTGATGACTGACAAGAAAGTCAAGACGAGGGAGGTCACCTGTCATTTTTCTTTTTAGATCAAGTGTGCTGGTGAATCAGTGACTAGATGATCTTTTAAGTGCTGTTCAGCAGTTTGTCTATAATCTTTTATGATTGAAGTGAAAACAAATCCACACTTAAGAAATTAAAAGTTTTTTTTTTTTTACTAGAAAAGTTAACCTGGAGTTGACCGATTTCTTTCCTAAGCACAAGCGATGCGGTGTGGGGCAATGGAAGTATGGCAATGTAAAGTTTTAAATCTTCTTTCTACTCACAGGATTGCTGGTCAATCTGTCTCTCATCCCAGTCATGGGCGGACTAGCTTTATGTACAGCCACAGAACTCAGCTTCAACATTCTGGGTTTTTCAGCAGCTTTGTCGACTAACATCATGGATTGGTAAGGTGTGAGGGAGGTTGCATGCACACAATAAAAAGTTGTAGTTATTTGGTAAACTAAGCCATCTCGCGTTCTAGAGCTGTCTTGTCCAGGTCGTGCTTAATGTGCAGTGTTTTCATTTTTGCTACAGAGAGAATTATACTAATAGAAAATGCATTTTATCTTGGATATGGGAACACCATACATGTCAGCACACATGTCAGTGGTTAAAGAACAGAACTCCTGCACTCATAAAATCCGTGTGTCGTTACCTTGATCCAGAACCTATGCCATGCCATAAGCCAATTACTAGAGTTATCAGTATGCAAATACTGGCTTGGTTGTGACTGGTGGCAAAAAATGACATATTGAAATGCCAAAAATATAAGTATGTTAGTGTTTGTGAATTTTTAAAAAGTGTTACTGGCTCTAAAATTACAGTTAAGCAAATACATGTTTTAATAACACTAAGGAGGTAACTGAAGCTAGAGCATTAGGATAAGATTTTAACAGGCAACGTTAACAGTGATTTGGGACTTGGATCACACGTGAAAGACAAAAACAACAGCCAGTGTAAATCATTATTGTCTTGGTTCAGATTCAAAGTGATCCAAAGGGCATGATATTGTAATGCACTTCTGGGGGTACACTTTTCTCTTGATACTAAGCTATATCATATCTGACTGCTAAGTAAACAGAATGAGCTCTACCAAAACGAGGCTTTGTGATGTTTTAATATGTTCAAGGCAAGAGATTATCTTAATAAATATGGTACTAGATAAACTGCTGAGACTCTACTTTATAAATGCCATTCCTGTGATTCAAACTCATTTATGGGGGCTGGGAAGGGGGCAGGGGCAGCATTATTGTTTCCTGCTCTTGGAGTCCAATGGCGTTGGTGTTCAGCTCCAGTTCCTCATTCCCTCCAGAAGTTCTGCCTATGGACTTTGTTAGGGGTCCAAAGCCTCCTGTGAAAACAAAATAGGTCTACTGGGTGATCTTGAGCTTTGCTCTCCATTCTCTTAGGTGTGATTGTTTGTACTTTGCCACTAACCAGATGTAAGGGAACGCAGCCTGCCAGGCAGTGATTAAATCAGGCCTCTTTCAAATCAGTTCTCTTCAAATGCAAAATAAGGCATGAAAGAAGGCTGGATGCATATGTATTTTTATGAAAGACTGTATATGGAAATTGGGTGCAGCCCTTTTGCTTTTGGCAACCTGCAGTGCGTTGCAGCTTGAATGTCCTTGCACCATTTTTTCTAAATGCCCTTTTGCATCGTCACGGGCTGGATATGCCATGTTTCTATTAATTTCTAATACTGTTGCTTTAGAGGGGAGTTGATTGGAAAAAGAAAACCAATACTCCAGTTTCCCAGTCAAGCTCCTTAAATATCAAACGTGTTTCCATTTAAAATACCAAATACTAATTTTAAAAGAATAATTCTCTGTTTCTGAAAGTTACAGTCAGCGAGGTGATGCAGAGAAGGTAACTGGCACTTTTAGATTCAGTTAAACTTATGAGAGAATTACCAAACAGAATAATGCTTAATGTATATTAATCTAAAAAGTAAAGTATAAACCTGAAATTTAGCTACTTGAAGAACGAGAAATACAGTTAATAAACCACATCCTAACCTGCTATCCTTTCATCTTCATTTTGCATGTTTCAAACTCTGATTTGTTTCCTAAATAGGAGCATGGCATTTCATGTTGCTTTCCATAATGGTCTCACTTCAAACTTAAAAAACAAGAAAAAGAAATGAAAGTATCAATAGTGAATCGCATGCTATTTATAAAATGGGAAACTTAAAACAACTTGCATGTAAAATGGGTTAACAAAACATTCTGCAATGTGTTTATAGGGCAGCCACATTAATGAGACACACAAGAAAAGAATATACCCTGCCTCTAAAACTGCCTTTTCTATTCTATTTAAACCCACGAAGGACTGCGCAGATCACCGATTCTCAACCAGCGTGCTGTACTGCTGGGGGTGTCTTGAGATCCTTTCAGGGGTGTTGTGTGATGCCATGCAATGTTAGCACTGTTAGCTGTGGAAACACAATTCACAGAATAATCCCAGAGTTTTCAAATAGGAATCCATAGCATTAAAAACATTGACTTGTGGGGTTTTTTTTTTTTTTTTTTTTTTTTTTGAAGTTTTGCAACAGAATAATTGCTCTAGTATTATTTTGTAGTCAAAGAGAGAGAGTGAGTGAGAACTAAGAGCTGGCATCTTCTGAGGGGTGTCTTGAGTCTGTTGAAAGGTGCCTCAAGTTCAAAAAGATTGAGAACCACTGGTGTAGAAAAGGCAGCTGTTGGCCGGAGTTGTATAGAAAAGCTCAATTTCTGTCACAGGATATTATTAAGTTCATATGTTCGCTATAAGCAGTATCTATAGGTAAACTTCTTGCTTTTCTTTTCCCAGTCTGCAAAACGTTTTTTCCAAAAAGCTGCTCAGTGGAGACAAGTACCGCTTTTCGTAAGTATTTGTTGCTTCGAATATACCGTTTGGAGAAGGGCCGTGGGGATCATCAGGAAACCAGGTTTTCAGAGTTAGTAGGACTGGGACAGGGCCTCTGTCTTCCTTCACAGCTTCTGATAACAGCTGTGCCATATCAATATTAACCAATTTTATGTCAGAAATAGAAGTAGTTAGTCTTCCACAAACAAAAAATAAACAAACCCAAACCATAACCATTAGTGTGTAAGAGATGGATATCTTAAAGGAATTTTAGATTACCAAAATGGCAGTTGTCTAATGCTAAGGAAACTCCCTCTTCTGCCCAAGACTGACAGTATGCCACTCCTTTAAAGTTGCTACAGTCCCAAAAGGTTTTTTCCATACTTGAACTACAGAACGCTTGAACCACTAGTTAAATATTGCACTATATCGTTCTTGTTCACAATCATTAGCTTTAAAAATATTTTTTTAAAGCACTCAATAAATCCTTTATTGGTAGGAACCATCTGAACCTTTGAAAGCATCTGTTTTGTTAAACTTAGGATTCAGGGAGAGCAAACTCTTAGCTCCATTAAGAGTCTTTTGTGCCTTTCATCAGGCTTTTTAGCTGATTTTTTCTAAAAATGGTTTTGAGCACTAAGGTGTCTGTTCTGAGCCATTGATTGTAAATTCAGTACAGCTCTTTGACAGTAACTAGGTGATAACTTTTAAAAACGTTCTTTTTTTTTTAATGTTCTGTCTCTCTTTATAGAGCCCCAGAGCTTCAGTTCTACACCAGTGCTGCTGCAGTCATTATGCTCATTCCAGCGTGGATATTTTTCATGGTAACTTCCATTAGCTAACAATGCCGTGTGTTTTCCTTCTGACCTGTGAGCAGATGACTTACTTTCAGTTTACCTTTCCTATTCTTTAAAATCATGCTGGCATGCACTTCATCCTGTGTTTGGCTGGTGATGTTTTAAGAGGCTGAGAGAGGGTGTTTCGAGAAGCAGTTTCATGCAAACATGATTTGACGAACAAACCAAAAAAAACTGAAGTTGGTTTCAAGATTTAAGGAACAAGTCATTATTTAATTTGACTAAATGCCTTCAAAGTAACTTAAAGAAATTAGTCCTGTGTTCTTGCTGGCCTGTTTGATATGGACTGTATTCATAGGACGCTTGACAGTCTGTTATGAGAGAGGAAACTGTGATATAGTCTTCTGGCTGGTTTGTGTCAGAGAGGGAATTAGGACTCTTGGTTTCCTGTCTCCAGGTTCTGTGTTCTGACTACTAAGCTGCACAGACCAAATGCAGAAAAAGAAAAAATTGACTTACAACCATAATGAAACCATATGTTCACATATTATATGGTGTGGAGAAAATGTTGGGATGGCAGTAATCTTATCCTGTTCTCTTCTGTATGATAGAGAAGCCAAAAGCAATTATCGCAACCTTTTGGCAATATTTTACAGTTAGGGTGGCCAAAATCTGGAACCAGCTTCCCAGGGAAGTGGTCCTCACCCCACCTTGGGCAAATTCAAGAGGAGGTTGGATGATCACCTGTCTGGGGTCTTGTGAGCCCAGCATTCATTCCTGCCTGTGGCAGGGGGTCAGGCTAGATGATCTGTTCCGGTCCCTCCTGACCCTAGCTACTATGAAACCTTATTAACTGCATTAGAGATGGTTTCAAAAGATGTCCCACTGCAGCACTCGCCCATATGACTGAGTCAGAACAGATCAGCCCTGAGTTATGATGCTTCTGCTAGAAGCCGTAGCAAGGGGCTGAGCGGGATGAGTTTAGATGCCAACGCAAGGCCCAGTGTGTTCTGTCGAGGGTGAATTATGGATTCGGTATGTTCCGAATGGGCTAGCACAGCTACTTCTCTCAAATGACATGACAAAACTGAATCTTTCCTAATCATTCTGAGTGACACAGTGCTCTAATCTTGGTGGGAAATTAAGAGAAGTATCTTGCTGTGTGTGCCACTTCCTTTTTTAAACATTCACACAGGATTAAATGATGTGATGGAAAGTCTGAAGAAAACAGATTTGGGCTCACATTTTTTTTTTTTTCCAGAGAGAAGAGAAAGCTCAAAGGATTAAAAAAAAAAAAAAAAAAAAATTCCAGTTCAGGCTTCTGAAATCTGGATTAAATAGTCTTGGGTATTTCCAGTACTAAGGAGATGCCATCATTAGGCAGGGGGAAAATTACTTGACAGTGTAGATGTTCTTGTAAACTGTGCTCCTAAAATCTTCCTTTTTTTTGGCTTTAGGATGTGCCAGTGATTGGGAAAAGTGGAAGAAGTTTCAGTTATAACCAGGATGTCATTGTACTCCTCCTAATAGATGGAGTCTTGTTTCATCTTCAGAGCGTCACAGCTTATGCTTTGATGGGAAAAATTTCTCCTGTCACTTTCAGGTAACACTATATAACTTCCATATTATTCTTTCATAGCTCAGATTATCTCAAATGAGGAACTGATTGGAAAGTTGCTTTACCTGTACTTCAGAGTCATGAAATGCCTTGTAAAATCATAGAAAATAAGTGTTGGAAGGGACCTCAGGAGGTCATCTAGTCCAGCCCCCTCATCTAACTCAACCCCCAAAATCCTGCATGCAAGCACAGACCACTCCTGTACTTCCCTTGTGTCTGTAGCTCCAGTGTAGACAACTGTACTACTGTTCTTGTGTGTAAGAAGGGTGGGATTTGGCCCATAATATTACACGGCGGGACTGTTCTGCACAGTCCTTAGCCTCATTTTGCATTAATAGCAGCATCAAGTAGGTATATTTGCAATTGCTTACCAGTGTTTTAAAATGGAATGCTATTTATTTTCTAGTAGGACCACTTAGGTGGATGGATTAACTAATGGCGAACATAGGATTCTGCTGCAGTCTTGTTTAACTTCCCCTTGCCCCCACTTTTTAAAGCAAATTTAATTCCCACATAGGTCTATTACACAGACCTGTTCTTGCTGATGCTCACACCATTTCACACTCACTCTGATTAGCTCAAATAGGAAAAGCAGAATCTGGGTTTCTGCAAAGATAATGCATGCTGAAACAGGTTGGCAAGTTTTACATGTGGGAAATTTCAAAGCTTTCAGTCCTTTACTGGGTTTTTTTTTTTGTTTCAGTGTTGCTAGTACTGTGAAGCATGCGTTGTCAATCTGGCTAAGTATTATTGTGTTCAGTAACAAAATCACAAGTCTCTCAGCCGTTGGAACTGTTCTAGTAACAATTGGAGTCCTGCTATATAACAAGGCAAAGCAGCATCAGCAAGAAACTATCCAAAGCCTGGCGGCAGCAACAGCCCCACAAACAACACAAGGGACAGCTGAAGATACTGAGCCACTAATTCCCAAGGAGATATAGCCATATAGTTGATATGGCCCTTACTTCTTCCAACCTGGTGTAACTCAAAGGAGCTCCTTCTTAAATGGCTGCTACTCCAGCAGTTGACAGTGGTTGGTTTCTTTTGAGTCTGCAGCAGGTGAAGAGATGGACTTGAAGCAGAAAAGAAGGGAAAAAGAAGAGAAAAGAATCCAGGAAGTCCTTTTTTTACCGAGAAACTGACATAAAGAGCAGAAGACCGGAAGTCATAGTGTCATAAATACTGGCTTCAGGCTCTTTTCTTGACTCTGCTAATAAAGCACAAGACTATTTTGGAGATAAAACTTCAGTGTTGTATGGGAAAGTTACTTGTGCCCTGGCCCACCGTGGTAATGTGAAAACATGACTCCTCACTGTCTTTTGCTAGCTTGCAGTGGAATGAAACTGCTGCAGAGCAGAACATCCCTATTCACAGCTATTTGGAGCATCCTGTGCTGGGTGAATCGGTAGGCTGTGGCGTGGTGTGGTGTGGTGCAAAGCTGCAGAATGACTACACGCCCATGGGTGGAAGTAAAGGAAGTAGTCGCAAATACAAGAATAGTGGTGAGGAGCTAGGTCTCTGCATAAACCAGCAAAGGAAAATCTGTGGTTTGCTGCTCAAATTGTAACAATTGGAGCATTGCAGCTTTTCTGGTTACTTGTAGCATTGATATAACTTGTGAAACTGAAACCCAGATATGCACACACTCCCTTGCTGTAACATAGGACCTGACACACATGAGCTGTTACTATCAGGCAAAAACTACTAGAAACTGCAATAATAAATGAGGCAACATCAGCATTTCCATTATAATGATATACATTTCCTCTGGAATATAATTAACTATGAAAATCCTGAGATAGGAGAGGGACTAATGCATAAAATTTTCTAGGGGTGAAATAAATACATACTGCCTTTAAGAAACTCAGGGTTAAAGTCAGTCTTTGGCCTGTCGCGTTGTGTGCAATTATTTGAGCATCTCCTGTGAAGAGACCTGTTTGCTAGAGAGCTGTATGGAGATTTTTGATACAACCAGAGAAGATGTGTGTTTGGGGGGGAGTAGAGGGGGGAGGAAAAGTTTGAATCCTAAAATAAAACTGTCCTGGCATCTGTGGATTTTTAACAGTTTTTTTTAATTTAACATGATGCAGTGCTTGAGGAAGGAGCATGGGGAAAGCTGCTGCTTTCTCCTTTCTGACATTGCCTGTTAAAAATGTCACTTTATATGAAGAAAATAAGTGTTTACGTGAAAAAAAATCTGTGATATTACGGTAGTTATAAACAAATTATGGGAGAAGAATCCTACAGCAGAATTAAGACTTTTTTGTTTAGTTGTTATCTCTTACCTGAAAGATGATAGAGCAGGGGTGGGCAAAATGTGGCCCACTAGGCCATTCTATCTGGCCCACGGGGCCCCTACAAAATTTAGAAAATTAATATTTATCTGCCCCTGGCTGCCTGTCATGCGGCCCTCGATGGCTTGTCAGAACTCAGGAAGTGGACCTCCACCCAAAATAATTGCCCACCCCTGTGATAGATTGACAGCAGAGGCACAGATCAAGTGATCCTCTGGGAAAGGACAAATTGGAAATAGCCTCTTGGAAAGTGCCCCAGTTTTAGTGTCCTTAGTCTGCAAAATCTAAGCATTTGCTTCATTCTGCACACAGCAGATAGTGCCGTTGACTTCAGGGGACTACTCCCAAGGGCTGCAAGGAGTGGATCCCTGAAGAAATGCTGTCTGCAGTAATGATCCTGGAAGCTGTTTGCTTGCTTGTTTGCCTAAACTGGGCTTATTGCACGGGGGGTGGGGGGTGTATTAATTGCCTGTCAGGGAGACCCAAATCAATATCCTGCAGCTCAATGCATCATGTCATTGACATTGTCTAGACTTTTACTGAAAAAAATACATTAACGTCCTCTGTGCCAGATTCAAACCTATCACTAAAACAATGGAGGAAAAGATTAGTGTGGTACTAAAAATAGCTGTAGTTGCTAGCTAGATTGTTTTTAAAAACTTGGAACTTGATAAGTAAAACCAATACAGCAGGCATTTTACAAAAAAAAAAAAAGGGCTTGCCACTCGCCCAGTATATTTAATAAAAAGAAAATTGTCCTTATGATTGCAAAGAGTAATAAAGCTTTTCATTGGCAGAATAAAACACACTGTTAAGCTCCAAGTTTAAATTTAAAGATGTCATCTTGGGATCATAAGGAGTTTGAGCTGTAAGAACTGAGATTAAAAAAACCCAACAAAGCTAAAATATTGGCCTTAGTGTTAGCCTTGTATACTGTCAGTACATTCATGCCTGTACGAGCTTTCCAAATGTCTGTCTGACATGGACTGGAGTCATCTGTGCTGTCAGATCACTGATATTGAGTCAGTAGCCAAATAGAGCTATTTATTAAAAAAAAATCCAATCATCCGTGTGGCTGAACATACTGCAGTGTAGCCTTGATTTGCTCTTCAGTGTCAGATGGATTGTTTTTCCCTCTCCACCCCATTAGCTAGAGTGGAGTTAATAGAATTGATTGTCCATATTCCCCATGCAATCAGTTATTCCAGAACAGAGATATTTTTTCCTTTTCACTCAAGGGGTAAACCAATTCCTGTTTACCATGTGACAGCTTTGCCTTTTCATGCTATAACCCATTTAAGTAACAAGGGCAAGCTGATGTAGTCTGGAATGTCACCTGGATGCCAAGCCACAGGTAACAAGGCTGTGGACCAAATAATACATATTCTGTTTTCTCAGCTCTTCCTTCCCATAGCTGCATATTCCATTTTCCCAAACCCCACAGTGCTGCTTGGCACCGAAGGTAGCAGGTGTACAGAAATGAACACATAGGGCTCAAAGGGACCTTTACGGTCATTGAGTCTGGTTCTCTGGTGCTGCAGACAATCATGCTTCGTATCCATCTGCAAGATCTATCTGATCAACCTATAACCCAGAAGTGATCCATTTGTGAGGCTGATTCAGACTCTCACTGTCCTAAGATCAGAGTAATTTTGAGCCTAAATTTATTCACAGTCAAATAATATCCATTTACTCTTCACAGATTTCATAGACATTAGGGCTGGAAGGGACCTCAGAAGATCAGCGAGTCCAGCCCCCTGCCCCAGGGGCAGGAAGTCAGCTGGGGTCAAAGGATCCCAGCAAGATAAACATCCGAATCTCTCTTAAAAGAGTCCGAAGTAGGTGCTTGGCACCACCTCTGGAGGGAGTCTATTCCAGGCCTTGGGGGCTTGGACAGTAAAGAAGTTTTTCCCTATGTCCAGCCTAAAATGGTCTTGGAGGGAGTTTGTGACCATTGGACCTTGTTATCCCTTGGGCGCTCTGGTGAACAGACGTTCCCCCAGATCCTGATGTACTTATAGGTTTTTACCAGGTCACCCCTGAGCCTGTGCTTTTCCAGGCTGAAGAGTCCCATGGCTCTCAGCCTCTTTTCATAAGGCCTGTTCTCTTGCCTTCTGATCATGCGCGTGGCTCTCCTCTGGACTCTGGTGTACCAGCACTTTTGTCCCAGCACTATTTAGCTTGCTGCTTTTTCCCCAGTATAATTATATGCAGCATTCTTCCTGCCTTTGCAGCTTTACTAAGCTATAGCCAAGCTCTTTCGAACTTCTCTTCAAGGTAGCCTCCTCCATTCTCACCAGACTTGCAGCCTTTCTCTGCATCTATTCCAGTCTGAATCCCTCTCTCCTGCATGGGTGACCAGAGTTGCACAGAATCCCACATAAGGTCACCCCAGTGCCTTGTACAATGGCAATACGACTTCCCCATCTCTACTGGAAATTTCTTGTGAGATTGAATTTGCCTTTTTCATACTTGCATTATAAGGGTAGCTCATAGTCGTCCTCTGATTGACCAGTAGGCTAGTGAAGGAAGAGTCTGTGGTCAGTAATTAGACAGAGAAATGGTATTTCAAAAGGGATGTGGCCAGCCTGGAGAGGGTTCAGAGAAGGGCCACCTGCTTGGTGAGAGGGCAGCAGGACAGGCCCTACGAGGAGAGACTGAGGGACCTGAACGTGTTCAGCCTCAGCAAGAGGAGGCTGAGGGGGGACCTGGTGGCTGCCTACAAACTCATCAGGGGAGATCATCAGCAAATAGGCAGAGCCCTTTTCTCCCCAGCACCACCTGGGGTGACGAGGAACAATGATCGTAAGCTGATGGAGAATAGGTTTGGGTTAGAGATCAGAAGGCAATATTTTACAGTTAGGGCGGTCAAAATCTGGAACCAACTTCGCAGGGAAGTGGTCCTCGCCCCACCTTGGGCAAATTCAAGAGGAGGTTGGATGATCACCTCTCTGGGGTCTTGTGAACCCAGCATTCATTCCTGCCTGTGGCAGGGGGTCAGGCTAGATGATCTGTTCAGGTCCCTCCGGACCCTACCTACTATGAAACTATGAAATCTTTCAACTGTTTTGCCACTTGAAAATACCATGCAAATCAAATCACGATAGCTTAAAAAAATCATTGTCCTGTTGTAAATTGCTCCATTATTCTCACCTTCAGTTTCCTTTTTTTATTGTTGGCTAAATGTGCCTTTTGTTGAACAATGTTTTTGAACTGCAGTGCAAAGAATACTTGGATTTGGGTCATTGGGTGGGTCAGAAGCCAAAACTTTGACATGCATTAAACTTCAAAAGCTGAGTTCTCCACATTTTCTCTTCGGAAGACAGGAAAAACTTCCTGTGCCAGAGAGCATAATGCAGCTGGTTAGACACCAAAGGCCATGTATTCTTGTTTGATTATATATGATCTGATTGCATCAAACATGAAAATGCAGCCTTACATTTCTGGGATGCTATAATTTATTAATTATGATAGTTAACTAAACCACTGGATAAATGGCTAGTTAATTTAATAAGGACAATATAGTGAGAAATTAGGCTGCCACAGCATAAATAGAAATTGGAGCAGCTTCTGGCAGGTATTTATAGACTCATAGAAAGTTAGGGTTGGACGGGACCTCAGGAGGTCATCTAGTTCAACCCCCTGCTCAAAGCAGGACCAACCCCAACTAGATCATCCCAGCCAAAGCTTTGTCTCGCCAGGTTTTGAAACCCCGCAAAGATGGAACTTCCACCACCTCCCTGGGTAACCTGTTCCAGTGTTTTACTACCCTTCTAGTGAGAAAGTCTTCCTAATATCTAACCTAAACTTCCTTGGTGCAACTTGAGACCGTTGTTCCTTGTTCTGTCATCTGGCACCACTGAGAACAGCCCAGCTCCATCCTCTTTCAAACCCCACTTCAGATAGTTGAAGCCTGCTATTAAGTCTTCTCTCAGTTTCCTCTTCTGTAGACTATAAATAAACCCAGTTCCTCAGTTTCCTCGGAAGTCATGTCCCCCAGCCCCCTGCATTTTTGTTGCTCTCCAATTTGTCCACATACTTTTTGTAGGGGGGGTGGTCCAAAACTGGACACGGTACTCCAGATGTGGCCTCACCAGTACTGAACAGAGGGGAATAATCACTTCCCTTGACCTACTGGCAACCACCTACCAATGCAGCCCAGTATGCCATTAGCCTTCTTGGAAACAAGGGCACACTGCTGGCTCATATTCAGTTTTTTGTCCGCTGTAACCCCCATGTCCTTTTCTGCAGAGCTGCTGCCCAGCCAGTCAGCCCCAGCCTGTACCGGTGCATGGGATTGTTCCATCCTAAATGCAGGACTTTGCACTTGTCCTCATTGAACCTCATGAGAGTTTTTTTGGCCCAATCCTCCGCTTTGTCTATAGGTCACTGAATTTTGGAGTGCTGAGCCTTTTGAAACTGGAAAAAAAGAGGGTTTTACTTTATGACTGGTGAGTAAAATCCTTCCTGGTATAAGATACTGGTGCTTGATGGAAGGAACGTACTGCATTGTGAACATAAGGGAAGAAATGCTCAATATTTCTTACAAAACCTGTGGTGATGCTGTACCCCAAATGACAAATCTCACTGCTAAAGGTATGGGTGAGAAGTGCACGGCTTACATGTTATTGCCAGTCCTTTGCAGGGTGGGATACTCTCCAGTAGAGGCAGCTGTCTGGTGGATCTGCTCTGAGCAAGCCGACAGCGTGTTTGCAAGCAGGAACCTGAGCTGTACATGTAAGGGCTTGCACAGATTTCCAAAGCACCACACAGCAAGGATGCAGGGCTTGCTGCTTTGCTTTTCAAATCGCTTCTCCTTTAATAAAAAGGTTGAATAACTCATTTTGGTCGGTCGTTGGGACCAGGTGTACTAGGAGCTGCCTGACCCTTTGCTACCGTAGAGATTTGGAGGAGCAGCGTTGGTCCATCGGTGAATCCCTGTGGAGACTCCACGATAATGTGTTGGTTCTGCACAAAAAAAATGGGCTTGCTGCTTTGCTTTTCAAATCGCTTCTCCTTTAATAAAAAGGTTGAATAACTCATTTTGGTCGGTCGTTGGGACCAGGT